GTCGTGAAGCAATCACTTTTAGCCCTGGATTGGTAATGTGGGGATCCGACTTATGGAATCGATCAGTTAGATCAGAAGACCACTAGGGCCATAGTGATAAAATAACTACTAGCAGCTAGTTCCAGAGAAGGATTTCGTTCAGAAGTCGTGTGAAGTGACTAAGTAGGGAGTCCTTTGGCTCCGCAGCCGGGCTAGAACCCGGTATTTTCAGATGACTGATGAACAATTTGAGATAGGGAGGTCTTGGTAGATTTTGGAAGGCAGCCAGGGCGCAACATACTGCTTCAGACAGTTTAGTGTTTCACGAAGTTCAATGCTTCAGACAGTTAAGTGTCTCAAGCAGTAATTGTATTTTCGGATTTCATGTATGGTTAGAGTCACAGATAGCTTGGGATATACTAAGTCACTTACAGCGGGATTATCTGACTTTTAGCCAAGTATAAGTGAATCACAGGGATAAGTGGATCTGTGATTCTGTTTTTCTAGTGGGAGCCTTGAGTGATCAGGAGATGCGTAGGCAGGTGAGAAACAAGTGGACTGGATTCAGCAATAATGATTCAGTATGATTGGTCTGTCAGGGATTCAGACCATCTCGAGACAACAGATTTCTGACGGAGTAAATGTGATCTTTTTGCAAGGAATTTGTTCATCTGCATATTTTAGGGCCTTGTGAAGGATGGTCACGGTTACCCTGGGGAAGGCTAGGGTGTGCCCAGGATTGTGGCCAGGTCACTTGAGTGGTTAGGCATGTAAGGAATGGTAAGGAATGATTTCGAGGATGAAATCTAATTTAAGTGGGGGAGAGTTGTAACACCCCGTTTATTAGATAAATAAATGAGCAAATTAATAAATTAATAGTAGCCCTAAAACCCGTAATGATATAGCAAGGTGTTGGTCTCGAGGGTAATTGTTACAATTTTAGAAGTTAAGGGTAAAAATTGTAAGTTTTGGATTTAAATTGAAAAGGATTTTAGAAGTCAGGGTGCGTTTGGTAATTATTGGACTTGATTTGAAAGGTGTTTCAGAAGACAGGGTATAAATGGTAAATTATGTACCTAGGTGGAAAGAAATTTGTCATGAGGGGCTAAAGGGTAAATATTGGATTTAAGTTGAAGAAGATTTTGTGAGGAGGGGCTGATTTTGAAAATGTGACACAAGTTGAAATGAGACACGGGTTTAACCCCATATCCCATTTTCCCTCTCATTTTGAGTATTGGAACCCTAAAGCTATCATCCAGCCGCCATGTATGAGGTTCCACAGCCGCCACCTCCCTTTTCTTTTTCCATCCGTGCTCCGGTCAGTCAAGCCCGCTGCTGCCGCTCCTCACCATCACACGCCTTACTGCCGGAGACGTGAAGGGGTAAACGAAGAACCGCCGAGGGCCGTAGAAACTCGTGATGCTCGCCATGTGTAGGTCGTAAGCCACAGAAATGCTCGGTAAGTCACCCCATAACCCACCTTCTTCCCTCTCTCTCGTTGTGTTCAGTGCAATCGACGTCGGAGACGTCGTTACCGTCTTCGGTGGTCGTGGGGCCACTATTTCATCTATCCGGCGAAGATTGTCGCCTAGCCGGTGGCGGTGTGGGCGTAGGTTTGAGTTTTTGCTTTGCTGTCAGTGTTTGTGTTGTTGTGTGATCCAGATCTGCCCGAAAATCCAAGGAAAACCCACCGCCACCACCATGAGGTGGTGGCTGCCACTGTTTATGTCACCCTTTGCCACCACCAGCCACCGTAGGAGGTGGCTGTGTGTGTGTGTGTATATATATATATATATATATATATATATATATATATATATATATATATATATATATATATATATGTGTGAAGTAATTTATGCAATCTTTGGGCAGGAACCACCACCACCATTGGAAATGGTGGCTACCGCCGCCTTCTGCCGCCCTTAGTCGCTGTTGTTGCTGCCATCTCGGGACGATGTCGTCGCCATATGCCAGAGGTGGGTGGCTATGTTGCTATTCCGGGCAAAGGGCGTAATGTGTGTTTATTGTAGTGTGTGTGTGTGTGTGGCTGTATTTCTTTCGTTAGAATGTTTTTATCTAGCCGGAAAATCAAGATCAGCCTCCACCACCACCGTGAGGTGGTGGCTGTCACCATCTACCACCGCCGGCCATCACTAGGGTGGTTGTCTTTTTTTTTTTTTTTTGTTAGTGTGTGTGTTTTTATTTTTGGTTTAAGCATTGTAATTGTAATTAACAAAAGAATAATGAAAAGAAGCACAAAACCACCACCGTAAGGTAGTGGCCGCCGCCGTGAGCCTCCGTTAACCACCATTACCCGAGGTGGTAGTGGGTAGCGCCCCACTAGCAAAACCCTAATGGGCTTGAAGATTAACTTTGGGCCTATTGGGCCATGTTTGAGTGGAAACCCTAATTAGGGTTTAGAAAACCCTAATTGTGAGCATTTAGGCCTTGGACTTATTGGGACCCACCTTTGGGACCCACCTTTGGATTGTATATTAAGCCCAATTACTCCAAATCATTTATCTAGTAGAGTAAAGGACTTAATGGATTGAGTCATTAATGGGTTAAGTACAAGACAGTTAACCCTATTTATCATTTTATGTGAAACCCTAGTTTCACTTGGACCTTGAGTTGGGCTTTCTATTGGGCTTTGATGATTAGGATGATAATGGGCCATCCAAGAACAAGAAATTGGGCTAGAATAATTTAATGGGCCTAGGGTAAGACCCATGTGAGGGTTTGGGCCCAATTTTCCCAGAGAAAGGCCATAGTTTGGGCCTTGATGATTATGAGATGTTGGAGGGAAGACCGTGTAGAGGGTTGGGCCCAATTTGGAAAATTGGGCCATATGTTGGGCTTTGAGCCATAGATAGACTTTGGGTCTTTGAATTGGGCCTTGAGACTGAGTCAAGCTAAGTAAAGGGTAAAGTAGTCTTTTACCCCAAGCATGGATTTATGGATATGCGTTAGAACCCAATTATTAATTGGGTGTTATTTTGATGTTGACAGATTCGGGACTCTGTCATCCAGCAGGTAGGGTTTTGTCAGTAGGACTTCAGCAGTGTGAGGTGAGTTTCCCTTCAGTAGAAACGGGTCTAAGGCACCAATGACGCCCCGTTTAGTAGTGTAGGATATCGGGGTTTGCCCGATGCAGATTGTATGTTTCCAGACTTCGGTCCGATGTCGGGCGGGGCCCGATGCAGTGGTTTAGCTTACATGTTATATGTTATGTGTTCCGGACTTCAGTCCGATACCGGGGAAATCCTGAGAAGTAGTTATATATGCTTGATGTCTTTGTGATTCATGCATGTTTGTGTTATGTGCTATATGTTCAAGGCTTCGGTCCGATGCCGGGCAAGCCCGATGCAGTATATATGATTATGTTATATCTTTATGTTTTGTTATGTTCAGTACATTCCGGACTTCGGTCCGATGCAGTGGGCGTGGCCCAAGTTATTCCGGACTTCGGTCCGATGTCGGGCGGGGCTCGATGCAGTGGGCGGGGCCCAAGTTATTCCAGACTTCGGTCCGATGCCGAGCGGGGCCCGATGCAGTGGGCGGGGCCCAAGTTAGTCCGGACTTCGGCTCGATGCCGGGCGGGGCCCGATGCAGTGGGCAAGGCCCAGTATTTGTTATTGTATGGTATGTGGTAGTTTGGGGAGACTCACTAAGCTTTGTGCTTACAGTTTTCAGTTTTGGTTTCAGGTACTCAGTTTGTAAAAGAGGAGCTCGGGAAGATTGCAGTGCACACACCATTTGTTCAGCCTGGGATGTTTATACTCTGATATACATGACAGTTGTTATATTATTCTGAGATACATTGTTTTGATTTTTCTATGACGCATGATGACTATGGTTTTATTATTGATTTAAAACGAAATTTCCAGGCTGTATTTTGGGATGTTTCATAATGCATTCTGGATCTCCAACTCATTGATCCGAGCATATTTTTACCTCAAAGAGGAATGTAGAATGCTCACCTTGTCTTCCAATTGTCTTGCACGAACATATTTTTCCGAACAAGCAATGTCCAGAGCAGATACTTTCTCTGAGAAAAGAGTCTTCAGACCGGCAAGTGACTGAGTCACCTCTTCTAGAGCTTTGGTCGACGAGGCATCACGAGTGCTCGTATCATCAAGTTTTAGCTGCAGATCTTGATTCAGAAGGCGAAGCTCTTCCTGAATACGTCCGGATTCAACTAGGTGTAGTGACATATGTTTGTTAGAATAGGTTAATTCAATGTTCTCCTGCATTAGTTATGTATTCTCTCGCTATAGACCCTAATAACTTGATCAAAGCTTGTCCATGCAATCAGACAGCTAGTCAAATTCCATGTCTCTGGTAGTCGTAGTTGCCGCATGAGCTTTGCTACGCAAAGATACTTCGTTCATCCAATGAAGACCCTCAAGGATGTAAGTTTGAGCCTCGTCTATCCCTTACTCATCGCTCATCTTGCCAAGAGAAGGCTTATTGACAAAAGAGGTAGTGATGAAAGAATGCAAGCAGGAGGGGTGGAGGAAGCTCAAGACATCATGGAAGAGGGGGTATCTTGCTTCTTTGGTAGAGAAAAATATAAAATTTAGACAAACAACATTACTAGTTAGAAGTAAGGAATATAAAAAAAACTAGTTACGTGGAATAAAGAGAAAAGGTAGCTTACCAAATTTTGGAACTGAAGAGTTGTTGGGCATGACTCCTGTCACCAAGGCACCGTCGGTTATCGTATCAAGAGTTACTCCATTGGAAGAAATTATCAAGTCATTCACATCGATAAGATCAGTGGCAGGAATGGTAGAAATGGTGGAAGAAGGATTCACCTCGATAACAGGGGTTGTAGTTGTGGAAGTTGTTGTTGCAAGAATAGAACCAAATAGTTTTTAGTGAAGGGCTGGCTGGCCAGTTCCCTTCCTTAGCAAGGACATCACCGACTGAACCTTGGTTCCAAAGGTCTTAGGGATCGGCACAAGGTTCGTCATCTGCGGTCAGAGCATTATTTGAAGAAGGATGCGACATAAAGCTTAGCGAAGGATCTGATAAAGCCTCACTGCAGTTACCAGGTCAGGGTCATTTTTGATTGGACAGTCGTGAAGTAAGGAAGGATCTGTGTTTGGGAGCGGTGGAGGCTTGGCAATGGTAGGATTGTTCAAGGAGGGATCTTCAGCCACCTTATTAGCATCCAGAAGGCTTGTAGGTTTGGTGTGGCGAGTAGAACGAAGACGTTTTGGTAAAACCAAGTCTTTCGGGTTCATCGTTTTGTTCATGGACACAACTTGTGGGTCCACATGTTCTACTTCGGAAACGATTACTCCCTCAGATGAAGAAAGATCCCTCTTGCGCTTCGATGAGGTTCTTATCTTTCCTGCAGGCTTGGACAAAGAAAAAATTAGCAGTTTACCTTTAGACCTATCATCCTTCTTTTTTCTTTTGTTGGAGGGAGACGACGAGATCACAACGGGATCGCCAGAGTCGGGTTGTACATGGAAATCAATGCTAGATTCAGAGTCCAATACTCCCTCACCTTCGACAGGAGTTTTGGATCTTGTGGTAGGCCCCTCAACAACCTTGGAATAGGGGTATTATGCCTCAGGAGAAGGAACTCGAAAAGCATGTTGGATATCCACGAAGAGCCGGAGCAAGAGGTCTACCGACTATATAGAGGACTCCTTCTAGTCCGACAAGTTCGAGAATCGAATCGTTAGGATCAGACCATTTAACATAATTAGCAACCAATGAGTCTATAGTGGATTGATCATCTATAGTAAGTTCAAGGTTGGAGTCATGATCCCGGTTTAAGAGGTTTTCAAAGTGCGTAGGAACTCCAAAAGGAGATGCATCTACAAAGAAGAACTCGGTCTTCCATTTCTTGATAGAGGTGGGCAACTTATCTGATATCTCAATAGCTCCATAGCGCAAAGAAAAATATACCCAATCACTCCTCACCATAGGAAGAATAGGTTTGAATTGGGGATCGATGTGGATAGACTTGATAATCTCATCCAATAATCCTTGAGTCAAAGTAGAAAAGGCTCTCTGGAGTGGATGATTGTCTTTCACCATGATAAAGGGATGAAGAAAGAAATCAAAGAAGTTCAAGAATTTGAAGCAAAGAGAGGAGTGGGTAGTTAAAATCGAAGAAGGAGTTGAAGAAAAGTTATTCGATTGTGCCTGATAAATAATTCAATTGTTCCCGATAAATAAGGGGCGGTTAGTAATTTCGAGGTAACGATAATACAATAGGCAATGATGAGTCGTAGGGGGCGGAACGGTCAAATCTGATACCTGATTTGACACTCAGGTTTATCTGTTAGAGGCCGATGTCGATAAACGAGAAGTAAATTTTACTACTAATAATCCGAACTTAGGGGACTTAGTTAGGTATGTCACCTCCGAATAGAAGTGGTTTGGTCGAGCCGAACCCGAACCACTAATATAAATTTCAGACGGGTGTATCGTGGAGTGCTAAACCATTCAACACGAAGCCGAACCACTTGACTTGCGAGAAACATTGTGAACTAAGATTCACAAGTGTTCAGTTAAGGAGTTATAGGAAACAACACACAAACAGCCTGTCATGGACCAATAATTCTGTACAACTTAGATAACAAGAATGACAAGACTGTCGACAGTTCATAAGTACTGCTTTTGTACATTTGGCACGGGGGGCATTAATGAAGATGATATAGGGAACTATTCGGCTCGCCCTCATCTCCATTTTCCCATGCAAAGGTAGTAAATAGGCAGACTAGATTGACAGAATACAGGCATTCTATCGGCAACCATATCTCCTTCATAATTCAATAACGATCACCCATATCTGGCATTTGACTTAAGCATCGGAGCGTTCTTCCGGGATAAGCACCCGATGAAAGTTTGACGTTTTTCTATTTACTCAGGTTCTGCAGGGCTTTAGACGAACGAGCATTACCTTATTAATCAATATAACCCCCCGAAGGAATCAGATTCATCAATCTGCATTCATCATTTGTCCTAAGATAAAATGATTCCAACACTCCATCTTTTTGGAGTTGGGCGATGCGTTTCTTGTTTATATGCCCACGGCGACAATGCCACAAACATGACTTGTCTACACAATTAGACACATCAATATGAAACATATTATTGCCTAGCTTATCAACACAAATCACAGTTCCATACACATCATTACAAGGTAAAGCTTCAAACACAAAAACACCATTTTTATAAGCAGAAATAGATCCAATATCATTATTAAATGAATATCTAAAACATTGTCCGAAAAATGCATGAAATGAGATAATGTTCCGTGTCATATCCGACGAATAACAAAAATTTAATAAATCTATCCTAACACCTCTACTAAGCATAAGAACATAAGTCCCGATCTTGGTAACATATGAAGTACGCCTATTGCCCTTGATTAGGTTCAAGCTTCGATGCTTCATTTCCTCATTTTCTCTTAACCCCTACAAATCAGAACAAATGTGGAAGCCACATCCTGTGTCAAGGACTCAAGAATGAGAAATTTGTGTGTTACTGATTTGAGTAGTGTAAATACTTGAACTGTATGCCTTGATCTTTCCATCTTTCAAGTCGTGCAAGTATTTGGGGCAACTTCTTCTTTAATGACCCTTTTCACCACAATGAAAGCAAATAGCCTCCTTTGGGTTACAAACAGCAGGAACATCAAAGTTGGGCTTCGACTTGGACCCACTACTAGACCTTCCAGCATGGGCCTTCCCTTTCCAGTTGGATTATGAAGGAGCATTTCTTTTTTTTCCTTTTCCAGATCCAATGGCCAGGACATGAGCACTTGTAGCAGAAGGGACTTGATTCTTTTTCATCCCTGGTTCAGCAGTCTGCAACAAGTTGTGGAGTTTTGTTTAATGTCGTCTTTGTATTGTTTAAATGATAAGTCAATATGAACTTATCATAACTAGGAGTCAAAGAGTTAAGGACTACATCAATGGCTAACTCTTCCTTAAACAACACATTAAGTTTTTCCAAACGCTCCACGTATATTTGCATTCTTTTGTACGTGAGCGCAAACAGATTATCCTTCCTTCAACTTGCATGCCATGAGAGACTTAACCACTTCATAGTGCTCTTGCCTAGCCTTCTTGTGGGACATTCTAGCAAGGTCGAGGCACATCTCATATGTCCAATAGTCCTCATAGAACGTTTGGATTTCTGGCGTCATGGTGGCAACCGTGATTCAAGCGACCTTTGTGGCGTCACTAGAATGTGTGTTGAAAGTAGGTATTTCTTCAGAGGTAGCAGTGGATTCATCTATTTCAACAAGAGGCTTTTCGAGAATATATTCCTTGTTCTCGTATTGAAGAGTCATCTTCAGATTTATCATCCAGTCCATATAGTTTAGACAAGTGAGCTTCTCTTTTGACAAAATCAAGAGAATAGTGAAGTTAGAGCTTTGGGGAGTGGTAGTTTAAGTAGTAGCGACATCACTGGTTCCAGACATCTATATATGAGACATAGTTTTAGTTAGTGATATAAATCCTTAATATTATAACCCAAAATAAATAATCAAGGCTAGGATCCAAAATACAATTCACAATAAAGAAAAGGGATGTCGTAATCTAATTGCAAATTTATCAAGGTAGGTAATAAAAATTTACTAATTTCAGTCTAATATGAAATTCCTAGGTAAATTGAGATTCATTGAATCTTTGCAATGGCATGTTTAATCTTGGATTATGCTCTTCAATTTGTGACTAGGATGTCGAGGATCACAAATAAGATGTGAATAACCATGTAAACCCACTTGACAACATCGACGTCATTTATCATCTTGAATTGATGTGCTGGAAAACCACCCATGCTCCATCACTAATGATAATTTTTTGATTTTTCCATCACTTAACTTTATAGTCTCAAATTAGTGTGTTGGTAAACCATGCACACTACACTAACGACTAATAAAGAGTGATGTGTGTTTTCATGGATTAGCGTACTATTCACATTTTTTCCTAAAGTAACTATAGTAGGGCATTTTACTTTATAACATCATACTTTTAGAGGTTATGTCCTATCAAACTCGTATAGCTAGCGACCCTCCACCATACAAAGGAGCGGTGGGTGAGAGTGGACACCCATTCAACGGTCGTTTATAGGTCGTTTCCTTATACCCTACTTAGATTATTGCTTATTGAATGAGGCCTACTATTGCTTTGACTAACATTTTCTTATACATATAGTATATTAAACATTTAATCATATATAGTATAAGTTGTATTCTAAAACTTTTCAAAAACACTTCGTTTAAAATTAATTTTCAAAATTAACATTTAATTAATTAAATGTAACCAACTAATGATTTACCAATTAACCTTTAATTAACAAATTAAATTAATTTAAATCATTAAGGTTTTAAATAACTATCGTCAATTAAAAATTTACTAAAATAATTCAAATTTAAATTATTAGGAATTAAGTAATTATAATTAATGGAATAATTAAAATTCAATCATAATCCCAAATATTCTTCTAATTTTTGAAAAAAGCTTTAGGGTTACTAGGTTTTTAATTATCCAAATTTTAAGGAATTTAAAAATGTACTAAAGGAAACTAGAAACCGTAAGGGATACCTATAAATTTCGAAAATACGAGGTGGAGGTTAGGGTTTCAAGAACCCTACCCTTTTACAAAAAATTTAAGCCATAGGATTTAATTTCCATAAACCCTAATTTGATCTATTCACTAATCTTCGACCCTAAAATTGTTCAAAGCTAGGAAGATTTTGGAATTCCCTCTTGTTCAACTATTGAACAATTACAGCTTAGCCCCGACACTTTCAATTAATTCTAATTAACTCGAAATTAATCTGATTAATTCTTAATTAAAATTACTATTTCAAATTAATATATTAATCATATAATATATTAATAAAACATTTCTTTCAATTTCTAATTAATTTATTAATAAAATAAATTAACTAATCAGTCTCTCTCTCCAAAAGCTATTTTAGTCAGTTATAAATTAGGAGGGCAATCCAAAAAGGAATTTGCTTCTAATTCCAGAATATATCAATTTAGTTATTAGCTTAGACACATTAATCTAACACTTCAATCATAATACCCATATACTTAACATTTAAGAGAACGATGGATCTTATGATCCTAAGGACAGTAAAGGAACTCATATCGATGTCCTTGATCAGTTCTTTATATTATAGTCTATTACTTCCTTTTGGTCACTGCAGATTCTAGTAAATGTCAGTACTCATCCTTTAGTGAAACACTCAAGGATTTAAAGTAACATACCAATGGTGTTATTATTCTAATTATAGACTAAAAACTTTGAAGAACGAGTTAACTCTTGATCCTTTAAAATTATTATGGTTCCTTGTTACCGATGATGAATCAACTCTTCTTTAGGTTTTAGTCTACATAAGATTACTTTGGGCATTTGTGTTTTACTTAGTCCTTCTCTTAGAAAACCAATTTAGTCTATCAGAATACGTCTCAGAATGGGCCTACATATTGTTCTTGTATTTGATGTTGTGGTTGGATACACCAACTAAAAACATCATTTTGCATAAGGACAATTGGCTTTCTTCTTCTTGACACTTCTTTCATGACAGCTAACCATAGGAGCATTTGAAACTTTGAGTTCTATGCTAAATAATGTTAGTCCTAAAGGGTTCTCAACATGTTATGCAACTACACGATGGATCTTTTCAAGTTGTCCATGCTAAGTTAGACTCACCAGACCATAGCCAATTCCAATAATTGAAATTCCATGTTTCTTCGATCTTACCAATGCACTCACTTCTTTTAATCTTGGAGTCTCTCTACTTTTCCATGTTAATTCCAAAGGTGCTCAACATGCAATGTTGTTCCATAATGGATCTTTCCATATAGATCATATTAGAATCATTTTACAATATGCACTAGTTAGCTTAGTTGGTTATGTTACCATAGTCAACTCCCAACACAATGGAATTATATATTGCTTCAATTTTTACACTTAACATTTACGAAGATGGATCTTTCCAAGTTTCTCATATCAAATCAGAATCAGTTGATTATATGCATAGGTTAACGAGTTGATTATGTTTCCAT